CTTCTCGTCTCGGCGCCGCCTCAGCTTCAGTTTGTGTGTAAACGGTGGATTCCTGGAATCTGCCCGGCAACAGGCCTCCCTCTCTTTTATCACAGTCTGTTTGCTCGCCCTTTACCAGAACCAAAACACCAGAACCAAAACACCAGAACACCAGAACACCAGAACCAAAACACCAGAACTAAAACACCAGAACACCAGAACCAAAACACCAGAACCACCAAAACACCACCAGAACACAAGAACACCAGAAACACCAAAACACCAGAACCAAAACACCAGAACCAAAACACCAGAACACCAGAACCACAACACATTGTGTTGTTGTGTTATTGTGTTGTTGTGTTATTGTGTTGTTGTTTATTGTGTTATTGTGTTATTGTGTGTTTTGTGTGTTGTGTATTGTGTTGTTGTGTTGTTATTGTGTTGTGTTATTGTTGTTGTATTGTTTATTGTGTTGTTGTGTTATTGTGTTGTTGTGTTTTTGTGTTATTGTGTGTGTTTGTGTTTATTGTGTGTTGTTGTTTGTTTATTGTGTGTTATTGTGTGTTGTTGTGTTATTGTGTGTTGTTGTGTTATTGTGTTGTTGTGTTATTGTGTTGTGTTATTGTGTGTTGTTGTGTGTTGTTGTGTTGTTGTGTGTTATTGTGTGTTGTTGTGTTATTGTGTGTTGTTGTGTTATTGTGTATTGTGTTATTGTGTTGTTGTGTTGTTGTGTTATGTTGTGTTGTTGTGTGTTGTGTTATTGTGTGTTGTTGTGTTATTGTGTGTTGTTGTGTGTTATTGTGTTGTTGTGTTATTGTGTGTTGTTGTGTTGTGTTGTGTTGTTGTTGTGTGTTGTTGTGTTGTGTGTGTTGTGTTGTGTGTATTGTGTGTTGTTGTGTTGTTGTGTGTATTGTGTGTTGTGTGTTGTGTATTGTTGTTGTGTTGTTGTGTTATTGTGTTGTTGTGTTTATTGTGTGTGTATTGTGTGTGTTGTGTTGTTATTGTGTGTGTTGTGTGTGTGTGTTGTTGTGTTGTTGTGTGTTGTGTTGTTGTGTTATTGTGTGTTATTGTGTTGTTGTGTTATTGTGTGTTGTTGTGTTATTGTGTGTTGTTGTGTTTGTTATTGTGTGTTGTTGTGTTATTGTGTGTTGTTGTGGTGTTGTGTTGTTTATTGTGTTGTATTGTGTGTGTTGTGTTGTTGTGTTATTGTGTGTTGTTGTGTTTATTGTGTTGTTGTGTGTATTGTGTGTTGTGTTATTGTGTGTTGTTGTTGTGTGTTGTGTGTTGTTGTGTGTTGTTGTGTGTTATTGTGTGTTGTTGTGTTGTGTTGTTGTGTTATTGTGTGTTGTGTGTGTTATTGTGTTATTGTGTTGTTGTTTATTGTGTGTTATTGTGTTTGTGTGTTATTGTGTGTGTTGTTGTTATTGTGTGTTGTTGTTGTGTGTTATTGTGTTGTTGTGTTATTGTGTGTTGTGTGTTGTGTGTTATTGTGTTGTTGTGTTATTGTGTTGTTGTTGTGTGTTGTGTTATTGTGTGTTGTTGTGTTATTGTGTGTTATTGTGTTGTTGTTATTGTGTTGTTGTGTTATTGTGTTGTTGTGTTATTGTGTTGTGTTATTGTGTTGTTGTTGTGTTATTGTGTTGTGTTGTGTGTGTGTGTTGTGTGTTGTGTGTTATTGTGTTGTTATTATTGTGTGTTATTGTGTTATTGTGTGTTGTTGTGTTATTGTGTGTTGTGTTATTGTGTGTTGTTGTGTGTTGTTGTGTGTTATTGTGTTATTGTGTGTATTGTGTGTGTTATTGTGTTATTGTGTGTTGTGTGTGTTGTTGTGTTATTGTGTTGTTGTGTGTATTGTGTTATTGTTGTTGTTGTTGTGTTGTTGTGTTATTGTGTTGTTGTGTGTTGTGTTATTGTGTGTTATTGTGTGTTGTTGTGTTATTGTGTGTTGTTGTGTTATTATGTGTTGTTGTGTTATTGTGTTGTTGTGTTATTGTGTGTTGTTGTGTGTTGTGTTATTGTGTGTTATTGTGTTGTGTGTTATTGTGTGTTATTGTGTTGTTGTGTTATTGTGTGTTGTGTTACTGTGTGTTGTTGTGTGTTGTTGTGTGTTGTGTTGTTGTGTGTGTGTTGTTGTGTTTGTTGTGTGTGTGTTATTGTGTGTTATTGTGTTGTGTGTTATTGTGTGGTATTGTGTTGTTGTGTTATTGTGTGTTGTGTTACTGTGTGTTGTTGTGTGTTGTTGTGTTGTTGTGTTGTGTGTTATTGTGTGTTATTGTGTGTTGTGTTATTGTGTTATTATGTGTTGTTGTGTTATTGTGTGTTGTTGTGTTTTGTGTTGTTGTGTTATTGTGTGTTGTTGTGTTATTGTGTTGTTGTGTTATTGTGTTGTTGTGTTATTGTGTTGTTGTGTTATTGTGTGTTGTTGTGTTATTGTGTGTTGTTGTGTGTTGTTGTGTTATTGTGTGTTGTTGTGTTATTGTGTTGTTGTGTTATTGTGTTGTTGTTGTGTTGTGTTGTT